AGTATGGTATGCCCCGAAAGGTTGATCTACGAGATCCTTGGGAGAGCAGAGATGGCATAGCGCTCACCTTCAAGGAAATGACTCCGGGATTCAAGCCCGACGATCTCCCAGAGTTCTTCAACTTTTTAATCTATGAGGGCCCTCTAGGGGATCGCAGCCCCGCAGTCCGAGATGAGCTGATAGAAGCAGCAACATCAGTCATCTCGGCGAAGGCGCAGACCAAGGTTGAGCCATTGATGGAACTTTTCGAGAACGCGCTCGAAGCACCTGATCGCAAATCCGAAATGTATGATCAGGTCAACGAAGCAGTCGTTATCCTTTACGGTGCACTCGGCCGTCATTTAACTGCAGGAGATGAACGAGTTCCGAAGGTCGTGCAAAGGTTGTTGTCGACACTTAGTACACCTTCAGAGACAGTACAATATGCCGTCGCGCAATGTCTCCCGCCTCTGGTTCGCACATCTGAGCAGGAACTTCCGACATACATCAACCAGATGATGGAGCAGTTGCTACAATCCAAGAAGTATGCCTCACGACGCGGTGCTGCTTATGGACTTGCAGGCATCGTTCGAGGAAAGGGTTTGATTGTGCTTAAAGAGTACCGTATCATGTCTACCCTCAAGGGAGCTAGTGAGAACAAGAAGGACCCCAACCAGAGGCAGGGAGTTTATCTAGCCTATGAGCTGCTCTCCTTGATTATGGGCCGCTTGTTCGAGCCATATGTCATTCAGCTCGTCCCGCAATTACTCGCTGGATTTGGTGACACCAGCGCAGACGTCCGCGAGGCTTGTCTTGACGCAGCAAAAACCTGCTTCTCCACACTCAGTTCCTTTGGAGTGAAGCAGGTGCTCCCGATACTCTTGGATGGTCTCGACGAGGACCAATGGCGCAGTAAGAAGGGTGCCTGCGACTCTTTGGGCGCAATGGCCTACCTGGACCCGAACCAGCTAGCTCTCAGCTTGCCCGATATCATCCCGCCCCTTACAGTCGTCTTGACAGACAGTCACAAGGAAGTGAGAGCTTCAGCAAACCGAAGCTTGCAACGCTTTGGAGAAGTCATTAGCAACCCCGAGATCAAGAGTGTCGTTAATATCATCCTCAAGGCTCTTAGCGACCCTACGAAGTACACTGAAGATGCCCTTGACGCACTGATCAAGATTCAATTCGCCCATTTCCTAGATGCTCCATCTCTCGCTCTGGTGGTTCGTATTCTGGAACGAGGATTGGGAGATCGATCAGGTACCAAGCGAAAGTCTTCCCAGATCATTGGAAGCTTGGCATACCTTTCCGAGCGAAAAGATCTGATCTCCCATTTGCCAATTTTGGTCGCTGGTTTGCGCGTTGCGATTGTTGACCCTGTACCGGCCACGCGTGCCACCGCGTCCAAAGCACTTGGTTCGCTCGTGGAAAAGCTTGGAGAAGATGCGCTACCCGATCTTATTCCGAGCCTTATGGCTACACTCAAATCCGACACAGGTGCGGGAGATCGACTTGGTTCTGCGCAAGCACTTTCGGAAGTCCTCGCAGGTCTTGGAACTGGACGTTTGGAGGAAACGCTTCCAAGTATCCTACAGAACGTGGCCAGCAGCAGGGCTTCAGTCCGAGAAGGATTCATGTCGCTCTTCATCTTCTTGCCCGTCTGTTTCGGAAACAGCTTTGCCAACTATCTCAGCAAGATTATTCCACCAATTCTTGGTGGTCTTGCAGACGACGTCGAATCAATCCGAGAAACTGCCTTGCGGGCCGGTCGTCTTTTGGTTAAGAATTTCGCTACCAAGGCTATCGATCTCCTGCTACCCGAATTGGAGAGAGGTCTTGCGGACGATAACTACCGTATCCGTCTCAGCTCTGTCGAGCTTGTTGGAGACCTCCTCTTCAACCTCACTGGTATCAGTGGCAAGGTGGAAGAAGAAGAGGTGGAAGAGGGTGCCAAAGAAGCCGGCCAGTCTCTACTCGAAGTACTCGGAGAAGAGAAGCGAAACAAGGTCTTGTCTGGATTGTACATATGCAGGTGCGATACTTCGGGCCTGGTGCGCACTGCATCCGTCGCCGTCTGGAAGGCATTGGTTGCCAGTCCTCGTACCCTGCGGGAACTTATCCCTACGCTCACACAACTCATCATCCGTCGCTTGGCAAGCTCGAACATGGAACAGAAGGTCATTGCCAGCAATGCCCTTGGAGAACTCATTCGAAAGGCTGGAGATGGTGTATTGGCTACCTTGTTGCCTACTTTGGAAGAAGGTCTTCATACTACCGATACCGACACCAAGCAGGGTATCTGCATTGCTTTGCGAGAACTCATCGCAGCTGCTTCGCCAGAACAGCTTGAAGACTATGAGAAGACACTCATCCAGGTCGTTCGAACAGCTTTGGTGGATCACAATGCAGATGTGCGAGAAGCTGCAGCGGATGCTTTCGATGCTCTTCAGCAGATCCTTGGCAAGAAGGCCGTCGACCAGGTCTTGCCATATCTACTCAACCTTCTGCGATCAGAGGATGACGCCCAGAATGCCCTTTCGGCGCTTCTCACTCTTCTCACAGATCAGGCAAGGTCCAACATCATCCTGCCAAATCTGCTACCAACGCTTCTTACTTCCCCGATGTCTGCCTTCAATGCTCGCGCCATTGCATCGCTGGCTGAAGTTGCAAGCTCTGCCATGTCTAGGAGACTGCCAAATATCCTCAATACTATCATGGACAATATCATTGCTTTAAAGGACGAAGATCTCAAGTCAGAACTGGAAGCATCTTTCGACAAGGTACTCTTGTCTGTGGATGAGTTTGATGGACTCAATACCGCCATGAGTGTCATGCTGGCTTTGTCGAAGCACGACGATGAGAAGCGACGTGCACGTGCAGATATGCACCTCGCCAAGTTCTTCGCGGAAGCGGATGTCGACTTTTCCAGGTACTATCCCGATCTTATTCGTGCGCTGCTCATTTCCTTTGATGATAGCGATCCCGAGGTCGTCAAGGCAGCATGGACCGCACTCAGCACCCTCACATCGAAGCGACTGCGAAAGGAAGAGATGGAGTCGCTCGTCATTTCTACTCGGCAAACACTCAATCAAGTCGGTGTTGCGGGTGCAGATCTTCCAGGTTTCTCGCTTCCAAAGGGTATCAACGCCATCTTGCCTATTTTCCTGCAAGGTCTCATGAATGGATCAGTCGAGCAGCGAACACAGTCTGCATTGGCCATTTCTGATATCATTGACCGTACAAGCGCCAAAGCATTGCAGCCATTTGTCACCCAAATCACTGGACCTCTCATTCGTGTGGTAACAGAGCGCTCTGTCGACGTCAAGGCCGCCATCCTACTCACGCTCAACAATCTCCTTGGAAAGATTCCTACCTTCCTCAAGCCTTTCCTACCACAACTTCAACGGACGTTTGCCAAATCACTCGCAGATACATCCTCTGATATCCTACGAGCGCGAGCGGCTAAGGCTCTGGGTACACTGATCAAGCTAACACCAAGGGTCGACCCTCTAATTGCCGAGTTGGTAACGGGATCCAAGACAAGCGATGAGGCCGTCAAGACTGCCATGCTGAAAGCCTTGTTTGAAGTAGTGAGCAAGGCGGGTAAAAACATGAGCGAAGCGAGCCGAAATGCCATTCTGGGTCTCATTGATACTGAGACTCATGAATCGAATGGTAAGACCAGAGTTGATGACATAGTTCTACCACCCACTAACACCGTCTAGACGCAATGGCTATTACAAATGCTCGACTTTTGGGTGCCCTCATCAGCTGCTTGCCCGAGGAAATTGCTTCCAGTCTGCTCAAGGCCCGAGTTCTGACTACACATTTCAACAAAGCATCCGTGCTGGCGCTCAACGCCATCTTGCTCGATGCACCCGAGGCCTTGACAGAATCATTCGCTGATGAGACTGTCTCCATCATTTGCCAGGGTATCGCACACTCACAGCCGTTCATCTCGGACAATTCAGTCCTTGCAGCGGGCAAGTACCTGCTATCGGAGAAGAGCAACAAGAGTTTCGATCATACAAAACCTATTTTCGAGGCTCTTGCGCCTGTCATTGAGCCGGGTCATCCCGTTGACACGAGACGGTTGGCACTTGTGGTGCTTCGAACCGTCTCGCGACAACACAACGACCTCGTCCGGCCGCATATTCCATTGGTTGTACCAGTAGTATTCGCGTCTGTTCGCGACCCAGTTATTCCAGTTAAGCTGGCAGCAGAAGCAGCCTTCCTTAGCATTTTCTCTGTAGTAGACGAGGAAAGTGCTGTTTTCGACAAGTATATGACTGGTCCAGGCAAGAGCTTGTCTCCTGGTCAGCAACGTAGCATGGGAGACTACTTCAAGCGTGTTGCCATGAGGCTGGCAGGGCAAGCAAGAGAAAGGAAGGAAGCAGAGGGTGGAGCAGGCGGTCTCGGTCTGTCTAGTGATGAGGTTGAGGACGAGCGTGAAATATGGAGTGTCGGAAAGGTTGAGTTGGGAGATGTGTTTGGCGATGATTCGTGATGGGATGGTGTACATGGGAAGAAAAGAAAAGCCCCCTTGGGCGGCATTCAGCATCAGCATAAGGTCTAAGATAATTGTGATAATGCACCATGATGGTTTCCAGATAACAGTGCAATTTGGTGCAGTAGACGCTTTCCTCCGAAGTAGTGTGCGAAGGAAGAGATTGAATCCGGCGGGTTTGACATGTACTTATGGGTGACCTTGTTAGGCTGTTCAGTGTCAACTCCGCAGGACCACCGAGCTCTGACCTCACGCTCTCCACGACTGCGAGCCGTCCCATCAACCCACACCCCGCACAAGACCGGCTGCATCTCACCGTCATCAGAGAACAATAGCGGCTGCTTCTGCGACTTGGGTTATCCATTTGTATAAGCGCGCAGGTCTCTCTGTCGTTGTCCCTCGCTCGGTATTCATCTCGGCCGTCGGCACGCGCATCTGTCCCACTGCGCGACCAACTCGCAACGCGCACATCACCACGCATTGAGCGCCACCACGGCGCGTCTCCACCGCCATCATGGCAGGTACGATACGGCCGAATGAGATGAATGTCGCGACGACGCCGACTCTCTCCTCGGGCACCTTGCCCAACCTCATGACCCTCCAGACGGACCTCAGCAAGAAACCCAGTGTGCCACGAAGCCCGCGCATAGATGTCGAGCCCCTATATGCGGCTGTCAAGGGCGCTATCAGCGACGCCGAATGGACAGTGTACAAGAAAACCCTCTCTTTCTTTCTTCTCGGCAATCTCAACCAGGAAGAACTCTCCCAGAAGCTATCCAAGATCTTGACCACGCCCGCCCTTGAACATGCGCATAATGCCCTCTTCACAGCCATCTATGCGAACATATGGCGGGATCCGCCAGAAGCTGGTATTGCAAGCTGGGTCAGCAGCAGCGATAAGCCGACGAGCGGGACGGTCAAGGGGACAGGGGATGAGAGCGAGAAGCGGCTAAAACATGAAGTTATGCAACTCAGTCGGAGGGAAAGGAAGAGATTAAAGGGCATACCAGCGGGCGACAGCCCGTTGAGTACAGGCTTGGAGGGGGGGCTGAGTGTGGGCATGACAGGACCGGTACAGGAGTATGTCGATGCTAGACGAGCGAAGCAGCTAGACATTGGGCCCAGTAGCAACCAAGGCGGCGGATTTGCAAAGACGAGTACGTATCATGACATTCTGTCGTCAGCACACGAATTTGCTCTCTCCGCATACTGACACTTCCATAGACTGGGAACTCGAAATCCGCAAGCGCTACACGTCCGCCCTCTACGTCGAAACCCACGAATTCCCCACGGCCATGACAATATCCTACCGTCTCCTCCCGATATGCTACGAATACGGCCTCCCCCAAGGCCACACGCCGGATTGTCCCGACTACCTAAACATCGCAACCGAAACGTACATCAAAGAAGCCCTCGCAAACCTCCTCGGCAAGGTGTGCAGCAACGGCCCCGGCTACATCCGCACGGGCGACTTCAAAAAGAAACAAGCACGAGAAGAACGGCTCGCGGAAAAGGGCGAGCTTATGCGCGGTGCGGCGGGCGAACTCCCCATCGAAGCCGAAGAGCGACGTAAAAGAAAACCGCTATGCACAGAAGACTTGCGCCTCGCCCTCGAACTCGGCGATGGCTACCTCGGCCAAACTCCATTTATCGCCGGCTCCATCTTGCACAGTCGTTTCTTGGATACGGAGGGCATCGAAGACCTTTACGATGGCTCTGCTTCTTCTTGTACTACTACTACTACTACTAAGCCCTTGACAAATGGCACTGCGCACACCAACGGCGACGCCAAACAAGCCTTTGCACCCGAAACATGGACTGTGGATTTCGGAGACGCAATCATGGTGGATGACGAGGTTGGGTTGCATTGGCAAGGCGGCAGTGTCCAGGATATGGCGGATATGGATGAGACGTTGGAGGATATATTGAATCTTGGGGATTTGTGAAGCCTTGGTTGTGACTGGGTTGAAAGAAGAAGAAGAAGAAGAAGAAGAAGAAGAAGAAGAAGGTGGTGAGTGCATTGGTAAAGATGATGGGGATTTTTTTTTTACACAAGTGCATGATGCATGGTATATGGGCGTTTTATTCTTTGCGTCTCGTGATATAAGGTCGGGAGTTGCATTTTGGGTGTTTGGGAGGCGGTGTTTGTGTGTACATGGGATTATGATACCCTATCTATATTTTTTTTCTCCTTTTTTTTTCACTTCCTATGGATTCGATTCTCTGTTTCGAGGCAATTTATGAGTATAAGTGGATGTTGTGTAGTTTTAAATTTTATTTTGGTTTCGTCGAGTATCAATGATTGAATTTCAAAATGTTTTCTTTCGTTGCGTTGGATTTTGTCAAGTAAATGTGTCGAGCCTGGAAAAAGCTCCTGACCACGTAACTTTTGTCATGTGAATAACGCCCCCGCGGAAAAAAAAAGATGGTCGATTCTAGATTTTGTGGAAGCAAGTCATAAATTTTATTGCATGACAGATCTACAATCCCACACAAGCACTCTCTCATCCCAGCCCGTACTCGCACACCAACCCTCTGCACCAAACAGACACCAATCCACACCAGTGACAAACTCGGTGTGCCTACCCATTCTCCCCATCTCCCTGCCTCCACCATAAAACATGGGATCCTCAAGCATATTCTCCTGCTTGACATTGCCCACACCCATGGCACTACCATCAGTCCACACCCGACACGTCATATCGTAACTAGCACTGAGCAATATGTCCGAGAGATGGGGACTCCAACTCAACCTCCTAACCGCATACTCGTGACCAGGCAGCACAGCAATGGGTCCTTGCTGGGGCATTCGAATGTCAAACGTGCGGATAACGCGATCGACGCCGGCCGTCGCAACAACCGTATCGCGGTACTTGTTCCAATCGTGCGTGAGTGCTTCGGCGGGCGCAATGCCGACGGGCGCCGCAGTCCCCATGCGCGCCTTGGGGGGCTGGTGAATGGGGAGACTCATTGTGAGATGGTTACTCGCACTTGCGGGCGTGCGCAGATCGAAGACACGGAGATGGCTATCCGAGCTGACGCTGCTGAGCACACTCGGGTTGTGCGGGCTAAACGCCGCCGAATACGTGCAGGAATGCGTGGGCAGCGTCGTGATGCTGGCGTTTGCATTTGGGTTCCAGATTTTGATTGTGCCGTCCCACGAGGAAGAGAGGAAGGTGTCTTTTGCGACGAGGTTCCAGTGGACGGCGAAGACTTCGCGCGCGTGCTCTTGCCACGAGGCGATGGGGTACGTGGGCACGTTGATGTCGAACAGCTTGACGGAGCCGTCGCCGCCGGCGGTCAGGAGTTGGTTCTCGTGCGATTCTGACCACGTGCTGTCGAAGAGGGAGTCTTGGGTGTCAAACCTAAAGTGGTGTTGTTAGCATGTGAAAGAACGCTGTGTGTGTACATATACACACACAACACAAGTATATGAGTAAAAGTAGAAAGACAAGACGTACCATTTCTCAGCGACTATCCCGTTAGCCGTCAAACCAAGAATATACAGCCGCCCATTCCCCACGAGCCCAAAGTTTGCAGACGTAGCGACTGCGATGCGCGAATCAAAGAATGGGCTGTACTTGACCGAGTAGCCGTTGAAGCCCTGGGTGCGGAACTCGAGCATGTTGGGCGGGTGTGGACTTGCAAAGAGCAAGAGAAAACGAGAGAGAAAGAAAAGTCAGACTATGGCGCGTGTAGATTGAGCAGCATGTGGCGCATCTTTGCGCGACGGGAAAAGAAGTGAAGCTGGGGGAGGATGTGCTGCATGCATGGTTTCGCGGATGACGAGTGCGGGTGGTGCTCTACCATGGCCGAGGCGCAAGTGGTAGCTTATGGCGGGGCTGGCAATCCGGGTAAGCAGGGCAGGGACCCTTTTTTTTGTTCCCGTGACTGCGCGTTGGGGCGTTTGTAGCCTGAGGGGGCTTTTCGCCACTTGCGTCTAGTAGTGTACTACCAATTGCTGAGTGCGGCTCGTTTCGTCATGAATGCCGTATCGTGCGTTTTTCAGGAAAGAGATGGACGCGTTTGTGACGCGAAAGAGGAAGCGGGATGAGCGGGTGGTGAAGCCTGCGGTTGCGACTACGCGTGTAGAGCCGGGCGAAGAGGAGGGGAAAGAGGAGGAATGTACGGATTTCAAACTGGCGGTACTGGCATCTTTACATGCTGGCGTTGAGGAGACGGCTCTTCTTGAAGCCCTACTCGCGGCAGACGGATCAGTCGAGCAGGCATTAGAGTACCTGGCACAGTCATCGAGGTCGCCCATGAGAAAGCGGCCTGCACCAGCTACGGTCGGATATCAATCGTCCTTGACCTCGTACCGGATTGCCCCGCCCAACGGCGCATTGGTGAACAAGTCTGTAGTGAAGAAAGGCAAGACGCTGTTTCTGTATAGCCCGGAAGACATTGAAACACATACACCCTGTTCCATCATCCACAACTTTCTCCCCGCCAAACAAGCCGATGCACTACTCTTGGAGTTACTAGAGGAATCTTCGACGTACCAACGGTTTGAATTCAAGCTCTTCGACAGGGTAGTCCAGAGTCCACACACATATGCCTTTTATGTCAACAGTCTCGAAGAAGTCGAGAGACAAAAGACGGAATACGTCTACGACGGGCGCCAGATGAATGTAGGTTTCCAAGTAAATATCATTTTCTTAATGTACATATATTAACAGCTTCTTCCCCCCGCATCAAGAACGTCCGCCAAAGCCCCCCCTCCCTCCTCGCCGCCCTCCCCGCCGTCCAAACAGCCGTAAACACAGAAATCCAACGCCGAATCCGCACCTTCTACCCCAACGCGCAAAAACTGGCCCACCAGTCCCCTCAGCCCTGGCACCCCAACACCGCCTTTGTAAACTGCTACGACGGCCCGCATCAAAGCGTAGGCTACCACGCCGATCAACTCACCTACCTCGGTCCGCGCCCCGTAATCGGGAGTTTGAGCTTGGGGGTAGCCCGAGAGTTTCGTGTCCGGAGAATCGTTGCGCAGGACGACGATGCGAGGGCAGATGGTAGTAGAGAATCCACGGCCGACGCCCAGGGCCAAATTAGTATCCACCTCCCGCATAATTCTTTATTGGTTATGCATGCCGAGATGCAGGAGGAGTGGAAGCACAGTATCGCGCCTGCTCATGCTATCGATCCGCATCCGCTGGCGGGCAATAAGAGGATTAATGTGACGTATCGCTGGTATAGGGAGAGTTTGCATCCAAAGTTCACGCCGAGGTGTCGATGTGGGGTGCCGACGGTGCTGAGGTGCGCGATGAGGAAGAAGGAGTCGAGAGGGCGGTATATGTGGATGTGTCATGTGGGGTTTGTGCCAGGGAAGGAGGGATGTGGGTTTTTTGTGTGGGCCGAGTTTGATGCGGATGGGGAACCACCGTGGGCTGCTGGCAAGGTGAAGAAGGATGAGGAGCAGCGGTCGGTTGGTTCTGTTTGAGATGGTTCTCTTGAAAGTGGCACAAGTGGTGTATTGTTTCTTGAGCAAAGTTTAATATGCAGCCATAATTAGAGCTATACCATTTGCTTGACTTTTGCCATTTGGGAATGAATTTTATGCGTCTCGCCCTCTCTTGACATACTCATCCATCCAAAACACGGCTTGGAAAAACGCCTGTTCCTTTGCGAACCTCGCCCGATCATTTTCCAAATCGCCTTTTGTAGCAAATCCGTGCTCGACATGCGAGTAGAGGAATACCTGGTAGAGAACCTTGGTCTCTCTGAGAATATCTTCTGTTTGGTGGCGCTTTTCAGCGGGGAAGACGTCATCGGTTTCTGTGCCACGCATCTTAGCACTCGAGCCTCCTTTGAAAAGAGTATCGATATGACGTTATTTCTTACCTGCTGCAGCAATGCTCAGCGGACGCTCCACACCGCGTACTTCATCCGCCTCGACGAAACTGGGGTGCGCAATGAATCCCGCATCCAGAGCGCCTGGCTTTAGCCACCTGCACACGTATTTGCCGCCGAAACAGTAACCTATGCCGCCGAGCCGCTTGACGCCAAGCTCGTTGCGAAGATGTTTGATTACTGCTTCGTAGATGAGGTCGACGGTAGGTGGTCGCGGCATGGTGTTGTCGACCCATTCCTGCAGACTGAATGAAGATGGGAAGGGAAAGCGTATGTGTGTGCCGTTGAAGACGTCTGGGATAGCGACCAGGTAGCCGTTGGCCTGATTGAGTGTTCCTTTAATATCGAGAGAATTGGATCATGTGCGAAAAAAAAACGTACTGCAAATTGGTCGGCAATGAGCTGGGTATTGAGAAAGTCCATGCCCAGGGCGTCTGTCATGAGCAGAATGGCATTTTGGGTGCTGCCGTCGTCAGGATATGTAAAGTATGTACGAACTTTTGCTGATTAGTCTTGAGGGATTGCTGATCATGGACGAGGTGGTGTTATACTGTTGCCGATTTGTTTGACATTGCCTTTGGGTGTGCCTTGGTGCTTGACGCCGACAATGCAGCACTTGGCCATTGGATTCGATGCCATTGCGATGAGTGTTTGGGATTAATGAATTGCGAGAAAAAAAAAGGTAACCGTGTTTCTGAAGAACGTGAAGAAGGTGCAGAACAAGCGACCATTTATATGACTGTACCATTCTCGCTTCTTGCCGTGGGTACCAAACTAGGGCATGAGAGACTTTGATGCAGATAGCCACAGTGGAGCGTGTACACTACCGAGAAGTGACTAGGCCTTCATGCCCTGGGAAAGTATGCTGGTCGTCGATTCCCATTGCGAATCTCGAGGATGCCTGGAGATGCACGGTTGTGATTGGACGGATCCAGTCTTCCTCGGTTCACATGCTTCGAGTCTGCCCCCAGGCAGGCAGGCAGACAGGCGTACGTCATACGTGATTGCGAGTCGGACGACTGCCTTGGTGCAGAGAAACTGAGGAGAATAATGGGTAGTTATTTATGCTCATTATCTGGACTATCGTAACATTCGTAACCGAAAAAAAAACTCGTTAAGGCATCCTGGACGTAGAGAGAAGAACTAGTCGTCATGACGCTTTTGTACTGGCGCGTGTTAGCTGGGCTATGGCATTCACAACCCATGTTTGCGCAAGAGACTTACAATTTTGAGATTCGTCGTGCTTATTAAAGGAAAACCATCTAGTGCCTGACCCGGCTGACACTCCTCCTGGTAATGCGTTCGTCGACATAGCTGTCACGTGGGTCTATATAGCTTGTTCTGGGCGTCACGCGACGCCTCGACACGCTCCTTGTGCGAGTGGTGCTGCGACGCGGCTCCTCATAGTACTCGATGACTCGAGGCCGTGATCGTGATCTCCTGCATTGCACCATCAGATTCTGGCGAGGCAATTCAGCGCGATGAACGGGAAATCAAGGTACCTACCTGTACTCAACGTAGCGACCGTCATCGCTGATACTCTCTGTACGGCGCCATTCACGTGGCAAGCGCATGACACCGGCTGGCGGGTGTGAGGTGAAGTTTCCGCGCCGGGGAGGCGGCTCGACGACAGTGCGTCCACGCGTCTCATAAGTCCTCATGATACACATTGTGCTTGGTTAGTGCTTGTGCCGTGATAGTGTCTTGTTGCAAGGCTAGTCAGTTGGCCGTTGGCGAATGTGGAAGAGCGAGCGACACGAGTGCGCTTGGGGAAGCGATTGACGGATTCACGAGGCGTGTATGATTTGGGGAATGGAACAGCAGAGTAATGTAGTACTACTACCAGTAGTATATAAATGTACACGGTAGTAGGCGGATGGTGCTGGAGGACGCACAGTAGAATGACGTGCGCCAAGATACGCAGCCTGGGAAACTATTCCAAGGTTGTTGACTTTGATCCGTCTGGTCGGTCTGGCCAAATCGACCAGCCTCTTCTCTTCGCTGCAAATGTACTTGGATGCGGACATGGCATGGGTCAACGTGGAAGATTTGGCCAGAGTGCCTAGCATAATGCTGGTTCTGCCTTCAGCAACAGTGCGCGGGCTGTCGTGGTGAGTGTCTCGTCGACGTCACCCCACGCGTCAATAGCATGGCCCGGCATCCTAGTCTGGTATGCACATAAGCAACAACTGCAGCTGGGAGATGGGCTGTCCGCACTCTGCATCTGTGACGCGTCGCGGCCATGGCGACGATAATGATGATACAGAGGATGATATAGTAGCATATCATGTATTGGACGGACTACTTCTACGAAACCTTTTTGGTCATTCTCTAGCTCGTAATATTAAATAGTTCACTAGATCAAAACATCAAAGCCTACACCTAGAGCACGTGTTGGGACTGCGCTTCTTGACAACGTCTATCCAAACATGTTTTGCAGAGTAGACAGGACCATGTATGCCAATGTCCAGTCTGCAATAATTGCCACTGCCAGGCAAGCATGGTCCTGTGCAGTCATCGCCATCCTCCTCATTTTTCGTAATAGATGACAAAACAAGGAGGCTATTCGGTTAGAGCCCTATCGTGTAGCAATGTTCTGGTCATGTGAGGATCGAGTAATTGGCCAGGCTGCTAGAAACCCCAGCTCAGTTGAGTGTAGTCACGTGGCAGACCCGAGCGTCCGAGTCTACGCAGCTAGAAAGGTCTCGACATTTAGCTGCAAAACAGATTTCTGTTTTTGTTCAGAGAGGAGAAAAAGATTTGGGACAATTTGGCACCGAGTAGATAGTATTTGTGACATGAGTTTCATGAATGACGGCGAGGGGTGAGTGTATAGCACTGAGGCTGAGTTGACAGCTGCACCCACCCCCACCTGCCCCGCTACTCGCGGCTGGTCGACGCTTGAAACGTACCCAAGCACGTACGTTGGCGGTGACGAGGCAGAAGCCACTGCTGGTAATGTCGTAGTGCCCATGCCCATTGTGAGAGAGAAACTCTGTCTTCTGTCGTCTTCATCTTCGCCATTGTATCGCTAGCATTGCCTGTAGTAGCACATCGCCCGTCATGTCCCTCGTCTCAGGTACGCAGCAGTACTCGTATGCAGTGCAACACACCCCCTAACAAGCTACCGCTACCACAGACGCCATATGGGCTGCCTCGCCGACAACCACGCGCGGACAGGCCACGCCTCTCTCATCCGACCCAAAGGGCGAGCGCATCGCCTATGCGGCATGTTTTGATCTTACTCTCGCCCACGCGCTGCACAGCTAATTGAGTGCCTACAGTCTGGCAAATCCATCTTTCTGCGCTCCATTGACGATCCCGCTGTCAGCAAGCAGTACACCCAGCACACGACACAGACAACCGTCGCCCGCTTCTCGCCCTCGGGCTTCTATGTCGCCAGTGGAGATGTCTCGGGCATGGTCAGGGTGTGGGATTGCGCCGGCGAGGGTGCAACAAAGGGCGAGTACCCCATCATCGCCGGCCGCATCAACGACCTGGCCTGGGACGGTGACTCGCAGCGCATCATTGCCGTAGGCGACGGCAAGGAGCGCTTCGGCCACTGCATCACCGCAGACAGCGGCAACAGCGTGGGCGAGATCTCGGGCCACTCGTCGCAAATCAACTGTGTCTCCATCCGCCAGCAACGCCCTCTACGCGCAGCCACCGGCTCCGATGACACCAGCCTCGTCTTCTACCACGGTGCCCCCTTCAAGTTCAACACTAGCCTGCGCGGGCAGCACAACCGTTTCGTCTTCGGCACCGCCTTCTCGCCCGATGGCTCCGTATTCGCCAGTGTGGGCGCCGACAAGCGCATCTGGCTATACGACGGCAAGACTGGCGAGGCCAAGAGCCAGATCGGTGAAGGAGTCCATACCGGTAGTATCTTTGGCATCTCTTGGTCCAAGGACTCGAATAGGTTCGTCACTGCTAGTGCTGACCAGACAGTACGCATCTGGGACCCCGAAGCCGGCAAGGCGATCCAGACGTGGAGAATGGGCGATGAAGGCGTTGTCAGTGTGCCTGACCAGCAGGTCGGCGTAGTCTGGCCCACGGGCCGCAGCGATGGTCTGATTGTTAGTGTCGATCTGGATGGGAACCTAAACTACCTCGTCGATGGCAACCCCAAGCCGACGCGCGTTATTCGAGGCCACCAGAAGAACATCACATCAGCTGCGATAGCAGGTTCGACCTTCGCCACCGGCAGCTACGAGGGGCGTGTCCTTGCATGGGACACGACAACAGGACTGGCCGACAAGGTTGAAGGCGCAGCCCATACCAGCTATGTCGCTGGCATCACCACATCCGACAGTAGTAGTGGAAAGGAACTCTACAGCGTCGGCTGGGACGACACGTTGCGCTCCATTTCAGCACCGGACAAAATCTTTACTGGAGAAGCGCATGACCTCAAGTTCCAGCCCAAGGGCGTCGCTGCGACATCCAGCACGGTGCTCATCCCTTCATCCGATGCCATCGCCGTCTACTCCAAGGGCGCTCAAGTCAGCTCACTAGCAGTCAAGTACACGCCCACATCCATCGCCGCGCATGGAACTACTGTAGCTGTGGGTGGAGATGATAAGCTTGTGCACATCTACACGCTTTCAGGCACCGAGCTCAAGGACACCGAGACGGTGTTGCGCCGCGCTACTTCTCCAATCTCAGCTCTTGCCTTCTCGCAGTCAGGTAGCAAGCTTGCCGTCGGTGCGGCCAACGGCAAGATATATGCGTACGATGCAAGTGCAAGCTGGAACCTCATCACGGACAGATGGAGTGCCCATACTGCACGCATCACCTGCTTGGCTTGGGATGAGAGCGAAAAGTACGCGGCAAGTGGCAGTTTGGATACCAACGTCATGGTTTGGAGTACCGAGGATCCAGGTAAGCGCATCAAGGCCCTCAACGCCCACAAAGACGGTGTCAACGGTGTGGCATGGGAAAAGGCAACAAGGGTCATCTCAGCCGGCGGAGACGCAAGTGTCAAAGTATGGACTGTCAAGGCGTAAGTGGTTGCGCCATCACTTTATCCAGAGATGCGGGCAGGAATCGGGCTAGGAATCCAAGCACACCCTGGCTGGTGATTGATCATGTTCTAAATGATGTGTTCTAGCCGGATCAACCTGCCTTTTTGAAGGACGCTCTGATACGGAGAGTGAAGCGGGAGACGTGGATAGATGGCGGGGTTGAGCGCCCTTGCCCTTTGCGCCGCCTACATATACGTAGTCTGATGACCTATCATACCCAGTCTCGACCCTCTCTTGTTCAATGCATGTTCGGTTTTGAATCCGCGTCGGATTGCACGTCGTTGGCCTGCGTACGGCTGGCTGGTGGATGCGGCTGCTCAGCCGCTGTGCTACTCGCCAACGCAACGGCTCATATTCCACTACGCCTGTCGACTAACCGTGACAAGCGCCAGTCAGCCCTGTTTGCCTGTTTTTGCCTTGTAGCTTCCGGTGCGCCGCCACCCAAAAGTTAATAGCGCATGCAAGCCAAGCAGAGGACATGTGTGGAGGACCAACGAGGCAATTGTTGCCCTGTGACTTTTCTCGCAATATATGCTCCGCTTCATCGCTTCATTTTCTGTCTGTTTTCGAACCGAACTAGCCAGAGACAAACTGTTCTCGCACATACTAGTCTTTCATGGACAACTCTTTGGCCTCTGATCATCCCCATCTCCTGTCAATGGCAAGCCCCCCATACTTCGATAGGAATAGCATCATGCACCACGCCTCAGATAGTCAACCTCCTCGATATCTCAACAGCTCCAGTGTAACTGGGCCTGACTCTCAATGGATCATTTTTCAGCAAACTACTTCATCGCCAATGCTTCAGGGATACAATCAGTCGGTCGGCTCGTTTTCGGCTCCATTGGAGCCCCCAAGTTCATTGCATCAGGCTGAATCGCAGCCTTGTCCCCGCATAACCCGAAATCTGTCTACATCCAGCAACTACTCTCAGTTTCCGGTGAACAATATCATGAGCCGATCGACATCTCAATTCTCGTCCATGTCTTCCGCTCAGCACACACATAGTTACAACATGACCCAAGCGTCACGTGGATCCTTCAACGGTGCACTACCTTTGGACATGACACGTTCGTACTCGAGCACTTCAGACAACTCGGAGACTGCAAATCAACCACCCTCGGTACAGTTAGCTTTGACGTCAGCTGACTGGCATACTGGTCAACCATTCGATTTCGCACCACAGGTTCCAAACCAACGCACCACAGCTGGCCCCTCGGCCCAATACCAATTTGGCTTGAGCGATAATTTGGGCATCGGAATCGAAAGTGGAGATCAGTCTTTGGATTGGAAAACACAAACCATCGAGTAAGTATGATCCACAATCCTCTTGCGTAAGACCATCAGCTACTGTCTATTGAATATGCCAAACTACAATCCGTAAATTGAGATTCAATCTGGATTCCGTACTTTTGCCGTTCCAAATGGATTCGCTTGGCCGGACTCAGGCGTAGGAGTATTATTTTCGTGGCCTTCCCCATGGATTCAATGGATTCCGCCAGGACCACTACTTTGCGAGCCAATCATCTTTGGATCAGACCATGGCACTCGACCAAATATCCCTACTGGCAGATTTTGGAATCTTCGAGCTTATGGATGGCCATCTACCAAGTAACTCCGACAGGAAAAAAATCAGCATCGTACCCCTCAAAAGACTGTGGTGGATCTGAAGACGATAATTTCGAACGAGGACACCTTTGGAGCCAACTTGTGTACGATTTTGTTTCCGCAGCAAGCCATCCACTGGTCGCTGACAACAAGTACAGGATTCGATCTCCCCATACTGGCGCTTTCATTGTCGTACCAACTGATTACTGGAGCACGATCCTACTACCATTGGACACACCTTTTCGACTCTACGACTCAATACTCCAGGTTTTTCCCGGATTATACTTACTTCCTGGTTGTTTGCCTTCCATTGGATTCCCCTTGACAAGCTTTTTGGAACCATCTGCAAAAACGTCAACCGGCGTTCATTAATGTAAGATTTCCTCAGTTGTTATGATTCTCAACATTACACGCTCGACCGAGCTGCACTATCATAAGAGAATTAGGTGCTTACCATTGAGCTAAAACGCTGGCTGGTCATTTCCTTGGCTTGCTTGTTTTCCTGTTTACTTTCTATGCACTCAAGTCTCCCAACAAGGACGTCAAGATCCCTTAGTAGAAACCGATGTTACACCGGGCAGATGATCTCTCACTTCTGCAACACTGGTGGCATCAGCATATATTTCCAAAACGGAAACCATGTGTTCGAAAGATTCTCGTCTTCCATCTTTCGCTATCGACTCAGCATTCAATCTGACAACATCGACGTTGCTCCTCGGATAATACTACTCTATACTTTCGTATTTTGCCACCTGAGTTGGCTATTCAGACCAACACCTTGGCAATCGTAAAACCACTATGAAAATTCCCAAGTCTCTTTTCTATTTCTGGCCAGCAGTTAAACGAACTCGTTCTAACATCAAAACAATAGATTTCCAAATCCTTTTACCCCCTTCCGACCAAACCAACCTGAATCTACAGAGCCTTTCTGTCAAAATCTAGCTTGTGAGCATTCAAAGTAGGTTGGCTGTATCACTCGTATTCTGAGTTTACTGACACAATCAGCCCAACGCCCCTGTCACCCCATAAAGATAGTATTCCCACACGCAGTCAAGACGACGATTCACCATGCAGCTCTTCCGCTGCTACACCGACAGCCGCCACAACTATTCAACATACATCCATCTCAAAAACTACCGAAGCCGATCCAATTATCGGCCAAGTAACCTTGGGTGGAAGATTCACATGCTTGAGTAAAGACTGTCGTGACGACGAAACCCTCACATTCAATCGCCATGCAGACTTCAAACGGCACTACACCAACATGCATGCAAGAAAGCTTACGGAATATTTTTGCCCGGAAAAAGGGTGCCATCGCTCAAGGTATCCCGCTGATGGAAAGAAAGGCCGGAGTTTCAAGGGGCGGAGAGACAAGATGAAAGAGCACATGAAGACTGTGCACGATAACCGTGCTAGGAAAAGGAGGAGGATTGAAGAAAGCGAGGAAAAGGATGAAGATGAAGATCCGTTGGGGAATAGTGGCGATGATGAGTTCAAGTTCGAACGGTAAGGTGGCAATGTGTTGCGCAGACGAGGGACGTGGTTTGATGTTCAATACTTCTTACTTGTTTTCTTAGTGATTTCTTATCTGGATAGCATTTCGTTGTGGATATTAGTATTCTCTTTGAATTCAAATGTATAGTCCAATGATGGTGTCATTGCTTCATATAACATGAAGGCTGTGCTAGAAAGTATACAGCTACTACCTTGTGCGGGATGTCATGGAGTACGCGGATCGCGAGCCATTCTCGGCCGAGTTTTGCGCTGGGTGTACGGCTCCGACTGGGAAACTTTGGGGCATATATGCAACCAGCAGCTCATCACATATCGCAGTGGGGAACTAAGGAGATAGGAAGAGGCAAGGTGGGGCGAGGGCGGGGCTGAATCAGTTGAGAGCAGATAACATGATCCGAAACGGGCAGGGATGTCGGCACATTTTATATCACCGTCTTCAAACAGGTATTACCGATATACTCAAATCAAGAAAGCAACCCAATCAGATTGAAACAACAAAGTCTCCTCTAATTTCAAATATTTATTGATTTGAATTCACCGGACCATTAGGCACAACCCAGTAGTAAACAGACGTTAGAAATAACTTATTCGCTCATTTCAATGTCATCGCCTAAGATTCAGCTCCAACAAGGGACAGTCGTAGGGACTGTCTTACACGAAAAGTACCCTCACGCAGTTGAGGCATTCAGAGGAATTCCATATGCCTTACCACCGACCGGTGACCGTCGGTTCAGGCCTCCAGAAAAAGTAGGAAAGGGTGAAGGGATTATAGATGCAACAAAATTTGGGCCCAGAGCTCCTGCACAGCAGTTCGTCAAAGTAGGACCGACGTTGGACGAAAGCGAAGATTGTCTGACTGCGAACGTGTTCCGTCAAGCGGGAACAGAGCAATCTACAGGGCTTCCGGTTGCGGTTTACTTGCATGGAGGGGCTTTCAATCGCGGAAATGCTGCTATGCATGATACTGCGTCAATGGTTGGGTGGTCCGAGAAGCCTTTCGTTGCAGTCTCGTTTGGATACCGGGTTGGGGCCTTGGGTTTCCTGCCATCGAAACTCAGTGCTAAAGAGGGTGCGCTTAATTTGGGCTTGAAAGATCAGATATGCCTGTTTGACTGGGTTGAGGAGAACATTGGGTCCTTTGGGGGAGACAAGAACTGTGTCACTCTCATAGGTCTCTCAGCTGGTGCACATTCGGTATGTTCAATCATTTCTCTCTGGGCTGCTCAATTGCTCATGCCACGCAGATTGGCCACCATCTACTCAACTACGAAGAGGGCAAAGCACCGAAATTTCATCGAGTCATTATCGAATCTGGTGCTCCAACATCCCGCGCCGTCCGCAACCCAGATGCGGAAATCCATGAGATGCAGTTCCAAGATTTCCTGAAAGAAGTCGAATGTCCACCATCACTCCTCGAGTCCGAGATCTTCACCTACCTTCGCAAACTTCCCACCTCAACCATCGCCAAAGCCCAAACTAATGTTTTCCAAAAATACAACCCCAGCTTACGTTGGGCCTTTCAACCCGTAATCGACCACGAGATCATCCGCTGCCGCCCCATCGACGCCTGGCGCACCGGCCAATGGCACAAACTCCCCATAATGACGGGCTTCCAAGGCAACGAAGGTTCCCTATACGTCAACAAATCCATGTCCTCCCCGTCCGAATTCCTTGACTTTTGGAAAACACTGCTCCCACAGCTAAGCAGCGAGGATATAGAAACAATCAACAAGCTCTACCCAGACCCGACCTCGGACCCGACCTCCATCTACAAGGAAACACGGCTGGATCTGGGCGTCGGACAAATGTACAAGCGTATAGAGGCTGCATACGCTCAGTACGCATACGTAGCGCCCGTCCGACAAACCGCCTTCTTCGCCAGCCCAGACGTACCCGTGTACCTCTACCACTGGGCCATGCGCCGCGACGTCATCGACGGCGCCCGCCACGCCGACAACATGTTCTACGAAGTACGGGACCCGGCTGTTTGCTCGGCGCTGCAATCGCAAGATGAGTTATCTGGCATCCTGCATGCGTATGTCACGAGTTTTATCTGTACGGGGAGTCCGAATGCGATTGAGGGCCGGTATGGAGGGAGGCCGGAGTGGGAGAAGTATCAGAGGGAGGAGGGAAAGGTTATGATGTTTGGCAAGGGGAATACAGAGTTGATTGGAGGGGGCGACGTGGGGGCTTTGGCGGAGATGGTGAGGGATGAGTATGCGGTGCGCGAGAGTGATTTTTGGTGGGCGAAGGTTGAGCTTTCGCAGCAGTGAGTTTGGTATATGGGGTAAGGGTTATGTGGAGTTGGGTTGGGTGTGGTATTAGAGCTTCATACTGGTGGCTTGGGTAGGCTTAGTGGGAAAGCATATGGGTGGCTTCGTCTGTTCAATCATGTCACCACTTTCTCATCGTATTTTCTGACTTCAACCCCGCATTTTTCGTGCGATATTATTTCATTCCTCGGATTCATCATTATGTACGATAATGATGCAAGTAATTCGCCATCTCAATATCTTGGCAAAACATGTTATCGGATGTTTATGTACCGCCGGGGAACACTTCTGATAGAGGACTGGGCGTATATGATACGGTTGTTTGCCTCAAGAGTGGGCCAGCGTTGATAGGACAATGTAGCCAAGACGCTATCAATTACAAGGAATGGGAAGTTTTGCTCAAATCATCTTCTTGTGTGGTCCCGCTAACGCCATCTAAACTGCCCATACAGGTTTTTGTCCTTACAAATGGTTGAGTTATCTTAACCAAACGTAGTATGCCGCCTATTTAGTGCAGAAGCACGACTTTGCATTGCATATACTACCCTTGTCTCAACCTTGCAATAACCCACATTCTCCAACGGTCTTTTTGGAAGTGATGTTGCATTTACTTCGAGTGCAACATTCCTCCGATAACGAGATAGAGAGGAAATGCGGTGCACAGCCGATTCCGATGTAACCGGAAGTATTGATAAGGTTCATCCAATATCTCTTTTATCATGTGGTATCTTTGTAGGAGTCTTGCGCATCAAGCTGTATCAAGGTTCATTTGATCTTGGGTACTCCAAGACACGCGAATAAACGAATCCCCGCAGCCATAAGGTCGTTCCATCCAGCTCTTCACAGTTGCAAACTCATCCCTAACCTGTGATCTTCCAATTGCAATCATGAAAACCACCACCGACCTTCCCAAAGAAGATGGCAAGGAATCAGCCATGTCAAAAGACATCGAGCTCCAGCAAACTCACGCTTTTGACAGCGACTCTCTGAACAAGAAAGAAAGCAACATTGAAGGCCAAGTAGAAGATCTCGATGAAGCAAACATATTCCTGAGACAGCACAACATCACACCAGAATACATAGCCGAGCTGCTCGACAACGAAGCAGCCAACAAGCGCGTATCCAGAAAAGTCGATCTGCGTTTACTACCCCTACTATGCGGCACCTACTTCCTCCAATTCATCGACAAGCAAGCGATCAGCTACTCCGCTGTCTTCGATCTATTCGAGACAACCGGTATCACCGGCGCGCAGTACTCATGGCTCGGCTCCATCTTCTACTTTGCCTACCTAGTCGCTGAGTGGCCGTCCGCATATCTCGCCCAGCACTTTCCCACCGCGCGCGTAGTGTCCATCTACTGCTTCTGCTGGGGCTCCATCATGCTCATCACCGCTGCGACGAACAACTTTGCGGGATTTGCGGCTATGCGGTTTTTGCTGGGCATCTTTGAATCTGTTGTTACGCCTGCGTTTATGATGGTGAGTTCTCAACATCCAAACTATTCTTCTCCCAGAACGCCAATCAATGCTGAGCGTGATTTTTCTTGGTGGCCAGATTGTAGGCATGTGGTACATGGGTGACCAGCAACCCGCTCGTGCAGGCATGTTCTATTGCTTCAACGGCATGGGCGCCGCCATCGGCGGCATCCTTTTCTACGGCGTCGGCTACGCCAAAAACTTCACCGTCTGGAAAATCATCTATCTCATCTGTGGCGGCATGACGGTGCTCTGGTCCTTTCTCCTCTTCTTCAAACTCCCCGATAACATCATGTCCGCGAAGAACTTTTCGGTAGAAGAGAAGGCGCTGCTGATTGCGCGCGCGGCAAAGAATCGCACTGGTGTGTACAATCGTACTATCAAGCCGCGCCAGATTCTCGAGGCTTTGACGGATGCGCAGATTTGGTTGCTTTTTGTTTACGTTCTCTTGAATGAGGTTATTAATGGTGGTATGTCGAACTTTGGTAAACTGATTATCAAAGATGTCGCTGGTGGCGATGCGTTGCGCACGACACTGTACGGTATCCCTCAGGGTTTTGCGCAGGTATTTTGGGTCTTTACGGGTCCGTTTCTCGCGTCTCGTCTGCCGAATGCGCGGACTTATATGATGGCGCTTTACCTCTGTCCTACGATTATCGGCACCACGTTGATATGGCAGTTGCCGCGAACGAATCTCGCAGGGTGCCTCGCGGGCTACTATTTGGTATGCATTTCAATCAATTCCGCGAGTAGCTAGGACCGGCTTTGCTAAAGAGTAAACTCAGGTTGGCTCGTATGTGGGTGGACTTGTAATCGCACTTCAGTTTCCCGCATCCAACGTTGCCGGATATACGAAGCGGACGACGGGAACAGCGTTTGTTTTCCTGGCATATTGTGTTGGAAATATCATCGGTGAGTACCACTTCCGGCCCCCAAACTTGTGGCATCCCTCGATTGACCTGAGCCAAACCCTTAGGGCCCCAAGCATTCTTAGCCAAGGAGGCCCCCATCTACGAAACAGGTGTGAGGACAGTCTTGGCTTGCTCAGTTGCCCAGTTCTTTTTAGCATTCGCCATACGTGCCTTGCTTGCGCGACGAAACGCCCAGCGTGACCGGGAAGAAGCTGAAGGCTTGCAACATAGTACTGCCAGTGAGATGGGCGTCATCGAGGATGCTACCGATTTTCATAATCGGAAGTTTCGATACAGGCTATAGATAAGATATTTAGTGTGTAGATATTACTTCAATGATTCCTTGTACAGACCTTGTTCCTTTCCCCGACGTTTCTGATGGACATTTTCGCATATATCAAACACTAATGCTGACGGGCCTGCATGGTGACATTCCCAACCCCCTCAGATTTCAGAGACCAGCTTTCCCACAAGAATACTCTGCATTTTCGACCCATACTAAAAGCTTGTTGATTAGTCTGGCTTATTGGGGCTCGACTAAAAGTTGAACTTCGGATATTTCTTGGAGTAATGTCAGATAGAATAGGTCTTGGACATGTGTAGTGTTGAGTGCCAATCTTGTACAGTTTCAAGTGAGTGGATGTTAAACAATTGTGAGAGAAGGGCTTCAGTTTCCGGGTTGCTACCGTATACACATTGGATCAAAATTTGCAAAATAACATACTAAATTTCTCACCAACTGTGCATATGAATGCTATGTACATACTTGAAGGGCTACAGCTGACTAGAGCGATTGTGTACTCCATGGGCAAGGGTATGTGACATGTTAATGGAAATATCTTATATTCATTTGTGTGAATATCGGGATGTAATACATTCTGAGAAATGAAAACAGATAACTCTGTCTTATTCTGATAACCAATGTTGAAAAACGGTTGCCAGAGGGGCATCCTAAATAATTCGGTGCAGAATACAACAGTACAAGCCAATGCAGCGATATCTGTGAAACCCATCCTTTTCCCCAACAAACGATTTCTGCTGACAAAACCTTTCACCGTCGATCTAACATTGTCTTTTTGAGCAATTCCAGTGTTGCGATCCATTGGTCCCGCGACCTGCTTTTCCAGACTAACAAGCCCATGACCCCAACAACCACACTACAAGGTACTGCTTTCTTGGCAAATCTTATTGCAACGTGCTTGAAGAACAAATTCTGCTTTTGCCTAACCCGCTTCACATGCTCCTCTCTCTTGTTCTTTGTGGGAAATGGAACCTTAGGTACTTCTTTGTCCAGAAACTCGCATAGTGGCTCCCAGCCATCTTCCAAGCGGAATTCAAGCAATTGCTCTTTGGGAATTGCAGCTCGAATCTCGGCATAGTGTTGCTTGTACCGTTCCTTGGCCACTCGCCGCATTTCATTCACGTTTTGCACGCCGTAATACCCCAGCATGATTTTGCGAATTGTCTTGCCGCCATTCAGCCCATACAGCGGTCCCAGTACATTGATAACAAGGTCCGCACGCAGTCCCCATGTGGTGCTGAAGATCGCCTCTTCCATACTGTCATACCATGCATCGATATCGCGCTCTACCAGGATCACTTTCGCTTCTGGGTACGCCTCAATAAGCTGCATGGCGAAGAAGGATCCCATATCAGTGACGGCTTCGTACGGTCCAAAAAGAATATCCCAATCAGCGCGTGTAAATAGTGCTCCTGTGTATGTCGGAAGAGTAGGAAAGAAAGAGTCACAGGCCTTGTTGAAAAGCTGCCATTCGAGAGGCGAGCTGAGCGCTTGAATCCCATGGTGTACGCCTTGATATCCCAGCATTTCAAGAGCTTGGGTTATTGAAGCTGAACCTGTTGTTGTATGCCCACATCGGTCAGTTCATCGAATTCCCTATGTGATATGGCATTTGAAGTCATGGATGGGGTAGACTCACCAGTACGTGTCATGCCTAATGACAGCACCTTCAACTCTCGCTTAGGGCGAATAATATCGGAAGCTGATTTCGCCATTGTTAGTGAACCAATTATTTTTTTCACGCAAAATATCTTAGCAAAAGGGTTTAGATAGTTTTGAGGGAAGGCTGAAAGCTACCTTCAACATCCGCAATTACAAGTAAAAACCATTCTCTATCGTTCTCTTACCACTGCAAACTGTAGGCAGTCATCCCTGAGCAGTCCATCAGCCAGAACATCAACCACGTGGTTGAAAGAGTGGCAGCCAGTCTCTCGTCGATTCATTTCATCTTGTATTGCCGAAGAATAGCCACGCCCTTTGATCTGAGCCATCACTGACTGAATCTTGAGCTGATCGTATCGGGCCAACTACCTTTCGGGCCGAGTTGTTAGGGCGCTGCAACACTATCCAGAAACTCGGCCGCGGCTTCGACCATGCGACAGATGACTCGTAAATCGCCAATCAAGTAATCGAATAACTAATTTGAACTTGCTCCGTGTTGCATGGCGGTCTAGCAGTGATGACAATATTTGTTTCATAGTTTTACTTATACCTCAAAGGGTAGGAGACCATCACAGCAACGGCTAACTCAAAAAAATCGGAATAAAGCGTAGTTCCAGGGTGTTGTAACAAGGGATCGGGTGATATTAGGAAAAACACCCTGCAGGCTTACCCCAGACCCTTGGCCAATGCTTCTCCGCGGATCGAGGTTCCTTTTTTTATTGATATCTAAGTTTCACACCTGCAATTAATCAATGTGTTAGACGCTAAAAGATCTTTGCGGAACCGGGTGTTACCGCTTCTGTCATAGAGAACGAAAAATGATGGGAAAATTCAGTTTACCGACAATACATGCCAGTAGCCATTAAAAGAATAAGGTGAATAGGGGTCGCTATAAGCAATCTTGCCTGTTGCATTCACTGTGCGATATCTCCTCAACGCCTTCATGTTGCAATTAAGTAAGTCATGCTTGACGTCTTCAACAAAAATTGGAAAATATCCCCGCTCTACTACTGACACATGCAATCCATTTTTGTCCCTGTACGATAAGATGGATCAGGTAAGTGAACAGATTTGCATTGATGTCACGAGACTGAAAAAATCAATCCGCTATAACATCAATCACTTAGAGAACCGTACTGCTTGATAACGTAGACCATGATAGTAAACCGGCCGATATATCGATGTAAACGAATTAAGGAAGAGGAAACTATACGATATGCAGCATTTTACACGTCAAGTTTGATCAACCCGATCCACCCGATCCATCTCTATAACACGTCGCATAAAACCCATGGTCATTTACCGACAACAACGATGCAGATAGAATGCTTATTTGCGTAAGTACTGCGAACCAATCGAAAGAAGTTGAGAAGCACGTGGGGGAACTACGATAGCCTATTTTGCGTGCATATTTGAGACAAGCATTCCCAGTGAAGATCTCCTCGGAAGCGAGAATGCTTGTACGTGGAAAATAAGCAAGTTGCTTCCAGGGCCCGGAATGCGGAGCTTGACTCTTAGTACGAGCACGCTAATCGTGTGTTCGGTCCGACCTTAGTGGTTGGGCTCGTGCGTCTTTGGACATTGCCATGACTCGAGGCATGGGGTCTGTATCGATCACAGGCGAATGGAAAGGGAATCTTCAAAGATTGTCTGAGGTCATATTCATCGCCGAATTCGCAGTGCATACAGGACTGCAGGTGAGTTGATAGGTGGAATTTCAATTGGTGCTAAAGCTATTAGCAAAGGCTTATGATATTACATACCATTGATACATTTCTAGATTTTGTCATGCTCTGCACTGTCGTTCAGACTTGCTTAACAAAATAGCTAATTAGCAGTTACTTCTCCGTGTACGTGAAAAAGACAATGTTGTGATATGAATTCATTGTTCTTCAATGTAGGGACAAAAAGCAATTTGAAATATAGTCGACCAATACTTTTGACGAAAATAAATCTGACGTAGCTAGCTCATGATATCTGTTCAAAACCTCAAAATCAACACTATTCCATAGCAACCCTAAATCGACATCTGACTGCAGCATCTCTGGCCACTGGACTTCCGGGACTACACACAATGGTGAAGTTGTGCCAGTCTCGCTCTAAATCAATGTCCAGCCCCTCGATCGCATCGTATCTCTGTATCATTCGAACTACCACATATCCAGCCTCTGTGAGTGCAAACTGCTGCCCAATGCATATACGTGGTCCGCCATTGAAAGGGACATACTGCCATGTCGTTCCAGGTCTCTTCGTTTCCCACCGCTCAGGCACAAACTCGTCAGCATCTTCACCCCACAAATCTTTCCGTCGGTGAAGAACATGTGTGCTGAAGTTGACCTCTGTGCCTTTGGGTACGAAGACGGGCATATTTCCATCCGGACCCCCGCCTGTGGGAAGAGTCGTATCTCGTATGGCACATCGCGAGTTGAACGGTACAACCGAGTGTAGGCGTAACGTCTCATTTAAGACGTGTTGGAGATAGGAGCATCCTTTGAGTTTCTCAAATGTTATACTTTGCCCAACTGTACTCGAGTAAGGACCAAAAGTATCGAGAATTGTTTCGCGTAGTTTGATGTAAGTCCGTAGATTTCGCACGAGGCAATAGAAGACCCAAGCTGCAAGGGATGCCGTTGTATCCCTGCCAGCGGCTAAGAGTCCCAGGACTTGTTCACGTACTTCGGCGCGGTCAGAGCAGCGGGCACGCAATGACTCCAAGAAATCGTAGCGGAGTTTGGAGGATCCTTGCTCTCGGGACTGATCAGCTGCATTGATGGCGTTGTCGACAAAGTTGTGCAAAGTCTGAATGCATTGATTCAATTCCTTATTTCCGTATAACCAATAGAGGCTTCGCAGTCGCATCCTCGTTCCCAGTATGCTCAACATGCGCTCGAAGGAATGACCAAAGTCGTCTTGCTCATTCTGAATCTGTCCATGTCCATTGTGTTGGATGGAGAGAAGTGATTTTAGAGAATGTGTACTATGGCCAAGGAATAGCTCGGTTGCTGAGTCCATAGTGAGACGCGGCAACAGGGCGGCCAAACTTACAGGTGCCGACCACACTCGGCCATCGTCGTCAATTGTAGACTCTTTTTCAGTTGACTCAATGATCTGAAACATTATTTGGATGTGTTCCTCAAGCAGATCAAGCCTGGAGATACTATCTCTGGTGAAGATAGGTCGCATAGCCTCGCGGGACCGATGCCAAGCCCTGCCATCTACGGCGAAGATGCTTCGTCCGAGTGCTGTCTTCAGGTTTGTTCTCCTCGCTGTTCCCATGATAAAATCTTCAAACTGTGTTGCGAGGATTGCCTGTATATTGCGCGGTTCGGCTGTGATGAAATTTGATGTACCTAGCAGGGATAGCCCCCAAGTATAACGGCCCATTTTTTCGAAGCGCGCAGCCACGAAGTCAGGTGTCCTTTGCTCTCTGTCAGCTCTCAAACCGTGGCGGACCAAGTCGATACCAAGGGGCCATTGTGTCGGCTCGAAAGGCACCGGACCACAACCGAGTTGGCGCGCTTTGATCAGATTTCCTAGTGGTTTGATGATAGTGACATTGATGATGTATAATAGAAGAGAGACAAAAGCCCCTGGAATAAGATAATTCCGCAGCATTTTGGATGCGTTAGTGGTGGCGTGTTCTGAGAAAGTGGTGGTTTCGATTAGTTGAGCACTTAAGGAGTTTAAATATGGCAATCGGCCACGCATGTTTCGAGAGCACGTCTTGTCCACGTGCATGACACTAAACAAGGGGTGGGTGACCATTCAAGGTATTCTGTCCTATGCTAAATTCGAGTCACTAGACCTATACAGGAGAAAGGGTGGAGAATCAAGTAGTAATCTCTCTGCTTACTGAGGACGATACTATAATTGTTTTGATTTGAACACTGCTATATCTACTCCAATAATCTCTCCCACTGGCAACATCTGAACCTTTTCTTGTTAGAAACTATGGAAATCTTTCCTGTCACCTCTATTGATCAAAATCAGGCACAGGCGTCAGGTTAACAAGCAGAGGTAACTTTTCCCACACCAGATAAGTCCCTTGACTGTTCCACCAGTCGTTCTCAGGATCGTGCAGCTCCCAGTCAAAATACCGCACGAGTTTCTGTAGACAGGCATTGTTAGTTTTTCTTAACGAATGTAGTCGGAAAATAGTGAACGAACCGCCATAGTAAGTGACATCTCAGCATAGGCCATACTGTAGTAGCCATAGTAGTCAGCACATATCTCCAGTGCATTTGCTATACGGTTTATACTTACGATCGTCCAATGCAAGCCCTTTGGCCATATGAAAATGGTTGAACAGCAGAGCGGTCGTCATTCTGAAACTCTGAGTCTGGCTCATCGAGCCATCGCTCTGGGTGAAACTCGCGTGCGCGTCTGAAGTTGTGCTCCGAGTGCCCAGCCGCCAACTGGTTGACACCTACAGCATAGCCACCTGGAACCCATTTGCCCTCTATCATCTCACCCTTGCCAGGTACAAATCGCGGCAGCGATCCTGGAGTAGGCGGGTACAGGCGCATGCCCTCATTAAGGCAAGCGCGCAAATATTTGCAGCTAGTGACTGTCTGCATTATCATATCACTGCGCCGTTTGAACTGACTACGGATTTCCCGTTTGAGTTTTTCAAGTTTATCTGGATTGCGCAGGAGCAAGTAAGTCAAGCCAGACATACCGCCTGCAGATGTACCACTGCCAGCCACAATGAAGTTGGATGAAAGCATTACCAATTCGAGGTGATTGAGCTTCTCGTCATTCTCAAGGATGTAAGACCTGTTGGGTGTAGTTGTTAGCACTCTATCGATGATCTAATGCAAATCGGGTATGATTGGGCAGAGTTACATGAAATCCTTGCCAGCATTCTTAGCTTCAACCCGCGCTTTCAGTTTCGCCTCAGTCATGGCGATGTGCTTCTTTCTTGATTCGACAACGTATTTTGGTGTCAACCAGTTAAGAAGGCCCATGAAACCATACTGCACGGCAAGCTGAAACCAGACGATAGCTTTGGCACGAGCCAGAATAGCTTGTATCCATGGTTGATCGGGATTGTTGACACAGCCTGACGGCTCGCCAAACGCCAGATCAGATACGATATCGAATGCCACGAGGTTGTACCAGGTCGTCATGTCGAGTGGTTCTGTTTTACACCGTTCATGCAGCTTCTGGACAAGATTGTCTGAGTGATCTTGAAAGTACTTTTCCTGTTCGCGTCTAATGTTTTGAAAAGCAACGTCAGTATGGACTCATGACACCACATCGCATGGCATGAGAAAAATTGACTTACAATGCCCTTTGACTAAAAGCAGGGTCTATAGCTCTTCTTAGCCTTAGGTGTCTATCTTGATGCTCAGTCATCAGGCTACGCCGGCCACCAATGCTCGCTGGAGCGATGCCTCTGCCATCTAGAGCTTTGACAAACTCTGGATTTCGTTGTCCGTATATCTTTTTCCACGCTCCCGACGTCGTATATGAAAGTTCATCAGGAGCGATTCGCACAACAGGACCATATTGATCATGAAGTTCACGTATCTTCCAGCTAATTCGACCTTTCATGTTCGTGTAATTCCATGGCAGGCGAGAGATAGCCCAGAGCTTTGGCCCAGGATAGCCAGCTAGAGGACTCAGATAAAGATTGTACACTACCTTCCCCGTAGCATGAAGTAGAATCTGGCCAGTACTGTGAGGTGAAATGGCCGGTATTTCTAAGATTGAGACTTACGAAAGCGAAAATGCCAGTGATGATGTTACGAAATGTGAATAATGTTCCTTGGGTGAATTGATGCGCATCGGTACCAGGCAGTGCTGGTTTTGTCATTTTGTTCTTGAGCAAGAGATATCCAATTGACAGAAAGTTGGGAATGTGTCCAGCCCAGAGATTGAAAGAAAATGACTAACAGCAATCGAACAGCCTACGGCAAGTTCAGCTGGAACGAGTCTGGGAACGCGAAATCCATTCTTCTTGCGATTTTCAGCTTTGGAGTACGATAATCGATATTTCCGGGTATTTCAGGAAAGATCAAGCCAATCAAGAGTTTGCAATTGGACACGCCCTCACGACCTGTGTAAGTTCAGTAAACAGTGGCGACGCTAAGAAAGAATGGTAGTAACCAGCTCGGAGAATTACTTCGGCCCTTGGTGATCGGACCGATCCTTGCTCCGAGCGTAGCGTGCAGACCGTTGCAACCGGAGACATGGATTCTGTATAGTCCGGTTTTTGTGCGCCATGAGAATGTGGGGGCAAGATGGTCGAATAATTTGATTGGCAAACCAATCATTGGTATGAGCTTCAACCACGTGGTAGGGAGTCAATGTAGTACTACCCCAATGACTAGCATGAAAATAGTTCATCCATGCCCCATGCGGTGACACAACGATATTACCTCGTTGCGAGAACAGTCTTGTTATTGGTAGTTTTTTGAAGCTTCGAAGCTTAGGTCCTAACAAGCAATGCGCTAGGTCTTTGCCTATCCATGCAAATCACTTGATACTTCCCAGCATGCCGCAATCGGATATCTGCCTCCGTCCCTTGTTTTCGTAATCGGCCATGGTCATAGATGTGACCTAGATTCTCAGGATACCTTCTTCGTCAACACAGCCATTGTACGATTGCCAGCAATCAATGTTCTTCCTTTGTGTCTCTTGACTTGCAAGCCCTCGAAGGCATCATTCAGAAGCCTGTGAAACTATATCGAAGATGAATAGCGAATACGATAGCAAGACCCTTGCCTTATTAGGGAAGACAATCCGTTTAGAGCTTCAACCGAAGCTCTCAAGTAGGGCACAAATATACCTACAGTTTGATAAAGATAGAACGCAGTTTGACAAGGCTGATTTGCGATTCACTCAGTACTCACGTCCAACATACCTCGCCATTGTCAATCCAGGTTGTCAAGATGACGTGGTCGAAGTTGTCAAGTACGCTCGAGAAAAGAATATTCCATTCATACCCCGAGGCGGCCATCATGCTGTCACCAGTACGATGAGACATTTCAAAAACGGTATATGTATTAACATGCGACCACTCAATCAGATGCAATGGAATGCGGAGAAGCGACACGTCACCATTGGTGGAGGCACCATAACAGATGAATTCGTCCAATACCTGCATGACTTGGGTATGGAAGTGAGTAAGTATGGTACGCTATTCAGATTTTGTATCATGACTGACAGCATGTAAAGATGTTGGATCGTGTCCTACTACTGGTGTAATCGGTGTAGCATTTGGTGCCGGTTTAGGACGTTTGCAGGGCAAGTACGGCTTTCTACATGACAACATGATCTCTTGCAAGCTTTTACTCGCCGACGGAAGCGTGTTAATAGCTTCAGAAACTTCGAATCCAGATTTGTTCTGGGGTATCAGAGGAGCAGGCCACAATTTTGGAATTGCACTTGAGGCAACGTTTCAAGTCTATCCGCAAGCGCACGGAGGCATACATCACACATGGGACTTCGAGTACACCCTAGATCAGTGTGATGAAGTGTTTGAGACACTGAACAGTGTTTCTGAGACCATGCCTGCTGAATTGGCAATATTTGTTCTATGGCTACGTCAGAGTAGTGGTCGCAAGGTATTCAGTCGCATCTCCAACACTTCAAGGTATCGCTAAGACTTGCTAGCACATCATTCTCGTTAATCTAGTATGGTCTGGACCATTGACGAGCGCAACCACTTACGCGAAAATCTTTGAGAACTTGGACCCTGTTCTCTACAATGGACCGAAATCTGTGCCCTGGCCGGAATTGCCATTCTCGACGTATAAGGAGATGAACAAACTTTACTGCAAGCCGGAAATTTGGCTTAAGGGCCCTAACAAAATGATGGGCGCCACTTGTGTGGAGTCCTTTGACCAGAGGACCACACGCGAGTTCTTTGAAAGTGTTAAAGCTATGAGCGAAGAGTGGGAAGGACGGGGCTGGTTCGGCGCAATGTTCGAATGTCTGCCAGATCAGCGTGTTCGGGAGATATCTCATGATGCCACAGCGTTCCCATGGCGCGGAGGATCAAATCATTTCCTGTGAGCTGACTGCGTTCGTCTGTATTCGATCCAAAGGCTAACATGAGAACAGTATGTTGAACGCTACACCGGCACGGATAGAGGATCGACAAGTTTTTGAGAAGCATCTTGACTACTGGAAACAACGCTTCATCGACACGTCTGGTTACGGCCGCTTGCAGCAATATGTGAATTATGGGAACAGCACAGCCACCATGAAGGATCCTCTCGAGGCACTATATGGCTATGAGCCGTGGAGGCTAGAGAGACTCAGGTGTCTCAAACAAAAGTATGATCCAGACAACCAGTTTAGATGGTACCAACCAATTATCGATGCATGAACTTTCAGTATCTGGGTTGTATACTGCGCCCATCACAGAGTATGAAATTTAAAGTATGAGTAGCTCAAAATACTGGGAAACGACAATGAAGGGTTGTTGATATTGACAATATAAGATTTGGTCTCACTCTGTGGCTTTTCTGTCATTAGTGAATATCTCGGAATTTGACATGATAGAGATCTGATCACATCGTGAAGAGAGAAACAAATGTCCCACCTTGTACACAGAGGCTCGCAGAATCCTACTATTGGTTCGGTTTCATTCGGTTCAATTCGAAGATCAATGAGCTGATTGCGGCTATAGTGCCGGATGACACTCGTGTAAAGAAGCGATTCATGTCAAGTTTGATCTGCTTAGCAGCTGCATATGTGCGCTTGCTGGATCTTGATTTGGGCGCCGAAATCAAGGGTCAGATGCTTACGATTCATGCAGCCGATTCTAGGAATTCTCCGAAATAAGGGCCTTTAGTGGTCCGAGATTACCCTGTTCAGAGTGGGGGTGACGGATTTAACATCTATGAGAGTAATGTTCTGATGCAGTCTTTATCGCTACGTCGTCGGGAAAGAATATTTCGAGGCTGTCTTTTGCTGGGAGTATAGTCCTTCAAATGGCAGTCGAAGCTATCAATCTCCTTATTCACCAGGAACATGTAAATCCTAAATCGCGGTTCTAATCTATTATTTAAGGTAGTGGTATTCATCCTTTGGAAAAATTGTGCAAAGTCCGAAACAACGCGAGGCCATCGTCATGACTCAGGGCAGTTGACTACTAGTCTTGCAATGTGGAGTAGTTCGACAACGGAAACTCCTATGAGAGCTCTAGTTCTATACTCGGAAAGCCCACTTTGCATGGGTTCTGTGAATGCGGAGCCGATGATCCCTACAGACCCATAGTCCGACACACTTGCTATCCTGCGTGCTCAAACAGTGAGATTCTATTGGATGGTTTCCGTGTATTTGGTTCACTGACACCATGTGCTCTCTGTATGTCTACTTAATAGCGGTCTAATCGATACGGCAGCCGTTTAAGAACAGGGCAACACGTGAACTCAGCTAGGCGAACATGGATTGGAGACCTGGTGACTATATTTAAAGCAGCTCTACGAGATTGGATTGGAAACATCAAATTATTTTCGCAACACCACTTTTTCAAGTTGCTTCATAGAACACGAATTGCTTTTAATTAAGCAAGCCGCAACTTCTTCGCGTATCACAATCATCAAGATGAACAGACCAATTGCCATTATTGGAATTGCCTTCAGGGGCCCTGGTGATGCTCGGGACCCTGAGGCTTTCTATCGTATGCTCATCGAGGGCCGCAGTGCACGCACTGAGATTCCAAAAGATCGTTACAACGTCGATGCATTCTATCACCCTGACCCAGAACGATTAGGCAGCATCCAACAAAGGTTCTTCAGCGGTATTCCTTCAAGATATACAGTGTCAACTGACTTTGTTTTACTGCAGATATGCTCACTTTCTACAACAAGACTTCAAAGCTTTTGATGCACCCTTCTTTAGTATCACACCGAAAGAAGCCAAAGCCATGGATCCAACACACCGCATCCTCTTAGAAGCCGCATATGAAGGCTTCGAAAATGCAGGCCTGACTTTGGATCAGGTGTCTGGAACTCAGACTTCATGCTACATCGGAACTTTCACAGCTGATTTCCCCAACCTACAAGCCCGCGACAATGAGGGCCCTTCAATCTACCATGCCACTGGCATGTCATCATCTTTGGCTTCCAATAGGTTGTCTTGGTTCTACAATCTGAGGGGGCCTTCCCTAACAATCGACACAGCTTGTTCATCCAGTCTGACTGCATTTCACTTAGCATGTCAAAGCCTTCGTACAGGAGAGTCCGAGATGAGTGTTGTCGGAGGAGCCAATCTTATGTTTGGGCCCGATATGTCTATTCTCTTAGGAGCAGCCAAGATTCTGTCACCTGAAGGGAAGAGTAAGATGTGGGATGCGAATGCAGACGGCTTTGCTCGTGGAGAAGGCTTTGGTGTGACAATATTGAAGGTCTGAGATCCCCAGCGCGAGACACACTATAGCTTGAATACCAAGACTAACATCACGTGCTGTTCAGCCTCTAGACACAGCTCTACGCGATGGTGATACTATCCGAGCGGTTGTACTGGCTACAGCCACTAACGAAGATGGTCATACGCCTGGAATTTCACTACCCAACAGTGAAGCGCAACAAGACTTGATTCGCAGGGCATATCAAATGGCTGGGGTAGATCCAGCAGAGACAGGCTATGTTGAGGCTCATGGAACCGGAACAATGGCAGGTGACCCGTTGGAAGCCAAGGCCATCTTGAAGACCGTTGGATCAGTCGAGGGCCGCAAATCAAGTCTTTATGTTGGATCCGTGAAGACAAACATTGGTCATCTGGAGGGCGCAGCTGGCGTAGCTGGTGTCATAAAAGCTGCGCTGGCTGTAGAGCGAGGTCTGATACCTCAAAATCTTTGGTATGTAGGCTACAACGATCTTACACATTGGTATACTGACCGTTTACAGGTTTGAAAAGCTCAACCCCGAGATCAATTTACCGGAAAATGTCGAAATACCCTTGAAGCTTACGCCGTGGCCGTCTGATGGACCACGTCGTGCGAGTATCAACAGCTTCGGTTTTGGTGGCGCCAACGCTCATGTCATTCTTGAGGACACAGCATCTTTCTTGTCACGCCATGGTTTGAAGGGTCGGCATGCAACAGCACCGCATCCTTGTGTCACTGAAATCGGCGGAGGCTACTCCAATAGCACCTCCAGTAGATCATCAAGTTCGATTGCTGACGAGACTTCAAGTAGCGACTCGAGCGACGCTGCGAGTGACCTATCCAGCGAAATTCTGCACGACTTACAACCTACCCCAAAGCTATTTACAATCTCTGCCAACGACCAAGAGGGAGTACGACGCAATGTCGAGCGGTTACAACGATATCTCTCCGCGAAGACTTCTGCTACTCCCGCATTTCTCAGTGACTTGGCATTTACACTGAGCGCCAAAAGAAGTCTACTTCCTTGGAAATCGTATGTTGTCTCATCGAAGGTCTCCGAACTGCAAGAGAGACTGTCCAGTCTTGCGCCTGTGGTTCGCTCTTCTAGTTCTGCAATTCCACGCATCGCCTTTGTATTCACTGGTCAAGGCGCACAGTGGCATGCAATGGGAAAGGGACTATCGATTCATGCAGCGTATTTTGAAAGCATGCAGAGATCTGAAGCACTGCTTAGATCGTTTGGTTGCCCATGGAGTCTCAATGAAGAGCTGAGCCAGACGGAAACTGAGTGCAAGCTGCGGGAGACTGACTACAGCCAGCCAGCATGTACCGCTATTCAGATTGCACTAGTGGATCTCTTGAGGGATTTTGGAGTGACCCCCGTTGCAGTCGTAGGGCATTCGAGTGGCGAGATCGCCGCTGCATACGCCGCTGGCTTCATCGACCAAGAGGCTGCGATCAAGATTGCGTGGCTGAGAGGACAAGTTAGTAAAACTGTTCCCACCAACGGCGGTATGTTGGCAGTCTCTGCCAGTGCTGAAAGCGTACAAACCTACATTGACGGCCTGAAAAACGGTAGAGCGGTTGTTGGATGCTTCAACTCTACCAAAGCCTGTACCATCTCCGGCGACGCTTCAGCCATCAGCGAGCTGAAAAGCATATTAAAAGATGCGCAAATCTCATGCACCCGGCTACCTATGGATATTGCGTACCACTCATGTCATATGGAGGCAGCACGTGAGGCATATGAAAGCGCTTTGGAAGGTATCGTGCATGGCTCGACTTCAACTATTCCCATGTTCTCGTCGGTCTCAGGTGCACTTGTTACACCCGAGATGATGAAACCATCTTACTGGGTTGAGAACCTGGTATCTCCTGTCGATTTCGTCACAGCCACAAAGTGTTTACTGAACCATCCACTGGAAAGCAAATCGCGCAAAGCCTTCGCCAGCGTCTTCGTCGAACTGGGCCCACACTCCGCATTGCGCAATTATCTTCTGGATATTTTCAGCAGTGAGAAAATCGCTGCAGATCTTACCTATGCAACTGTCCTCCGCCGTAATTTTGAAGGCGCTACTACTGCGCTGGAAGCCATGGGTCATCTGTGGTCACAAGGATACCCCGTCGATTTGAATAAGATCAATAGCCTGGAGCCAGAAAATGCCAACATGCTGGTCGATCTACCTCCATATGTTTGGAACCATAAGCCATACTGGTGCGAATCACAACTAAGCCGACAGTATCGCCTTCGTCAATCGCCACGCACCGACCTTCTAGGTTATCGCCTCCCCGGAACACCCGAATACACATGGCGCAACTTTTTGCGATGCAACGAAAACCCATGGATTCGCGAGCATAAGGTTCAGGGCGACATTCTTTACCCTGGTGCAGGTATGCTCGTAATGGCTATTGAAGCTGCTCACCAAGTAGCCCAAGAAACCAGCGTTGATGAGGTACATGGCTTCGAATTGCGCGACGTCAGCATCGATACCGCCCTTCGTGTGCCGGACACAGAGATGGGTATTGAAGTCATGACACAGCTGCACAATCGCCGTACAGGCACACGGGCAGCACCATCATCTGCACTTTACGAATTCACAATCTCTTCGTGGAACAAAGAAATGTCTTGCTGGAGTGCTCATGCGCGAGGTCTGATCTCAATCACTTACAAGACCTTTTCGACTGCGATGGAGCACGAGCTGGCCCTTGAAAACGGGCGCTGTATGACGTCGATGATTGAAGCTCGAAAAGCATGCCAGAAGCCAGCGAGAAGCTTCTTGTACGATACAGTCGAGACGATTGGAATGCAATACGGCCCAACTTTCCGTAACATGATTGAGCTATATGTTGGCTTGAATGCCAGTTATGGAGTTATCAAAGTGCCTGATACCAAGGCAATCATGCCCAAGGGCTACGAGTTCCCTCATGTCATTCATCCTGCCACGCTGGACTCAGTTCTTCACTTACTCTTCCCGAGCATCTCTGGAAAAGAGCAATCACTCAGCGAAGCTGTAGTGCCAAGGTCCTTTGAACGCATCTTCATTTCAGCAAATACTCCTAAGATGCCGAGTACAGAGCTTCACGGTTGCTCAACAGCAAAGAAGCTCAGCTACACAACATGGACTGCTGACATTATCATGTCCGAATCAAGTATGGTGGAACCTACCATCATCATGGAAGGTGTAGTCCTTGCATCTGTTGGCTCAGCTGAAAATGTGTCGAAGCGACTGGAAACGCGCGCATCGTGCTTTGCACAGAACTGGTATGTGGATGCCGACTTGCTGACTCCATGTCAAATCAAAGAAACAATCTACAAGAGGACATTGAAGAGTAAGGACGATGATTTGGTACTGGATCTTCTAGAGTTTGTTTGTCTGGTCTACATCCACCGCATCTTGGATTGGTTTGAGAGCGAGGAAGGCAAGATACACGAGCCACAAGATGGATTCTGGAAGCTGTACGTGGACTGGATGCATGAACAGGTTAAGCAATTCCCCCCGCTCCCTGCAGATGTTGAAGGCGAGATGCAGCGAGCCCGCCAGCGCATCGGAAGATCGGAGAGTGGTGATATCACGGTGCAAATGGTGGACCGCATCGGACAAAACCTTTCTCGCATCTTCACACACGAGGTCGAAGCTTTACAATGCATGACTGAAGGAGATCTTCTCTATGCTTTCTACCGGGGCGCATTCGGTACAAGCTTCAACACCAATGTTGCCGAATACGTTGGTCTACTAGCTGACAAGCGACCTGGACTGCGCATCTTGGAAATCGGTGCGGGAACGGGCGGTACGACGTATCATGTCCTGGAGCGTCTGCGCAATCCCGATGGCAGCTCCAAAGCCACTCAGTATCACTTCACCGATATTTCTCCTGGGTTTCTCGCCAAAGCAGCCGACCGATTCGATAAAGACGCATCTATCATGCAGTTCGGCACACTCAACATTGAAAATAACCCCACAGAGCAAGGATTCAGCCCCGAGTCATTCGATCTTATCGTATGTGCCAACGTGCTTCACGCAACTAAGAGCATCCAAGAAACCTTGGCACACTGCAAGTCGCTTCTAAAGCCCGGAGGCCATCTCGTCCTGTCCGAGGTAACCATCAAGCGCATCTTCTCGGGCTTCATTATGGGTCCTTTGCCCGGTTGGTGGCTAGGAGAAGCGGATGGTCGAAAGGGAGGTCCACTCCTAGACGCTAAAGAGTGGAACGTCGCGTTGAAATCGGCTGGCTTCTCCGGTGTCGATGTTGATGTTCGTGGTGACAGAGACACGTCCAAAGAACCTGTATCGCTTATCATCTCAACAAAGCCCGAGACGTCAATCGTGACTTTGCCTCCTTGTCTTATCATTAGCACTGGCACACAAGCATCTCAAAAGCTTGCCAACCATATGAGAGAGGCGTTTTCCTTGGCCGGTCATGAAGTTGATATTGCTCAATGGAAGGGCATTACCAAGACGAGTGTAGCTGGGAAGTATTGCCTCTGCCTTGCAGAGTGGGAGATTCCCGTCCTGGCAAATCTCACGAATGAAGACTGGGATAGAGTTCGTGAGATTGTTCTCTCCTCCGAGGGAGCCCTTTGGGTTACTGGTGGTGGAGCTCTCGATACCACCCACCCTCTTAAAAGCCTCATGGTCGGACTGGCAAGGGCTATCCGCAATGAGAACGCCGGTGTACGCCTTGTATGTCTAGATCTAGAGGCTCCGTCAACTATCGACTTTGAAAAGGCATCCCGGATAACACTGAAGGTTGCTGAAGCGCACATCCGAGGCGACGGCACGGAGGGTGAATTTGCTGCACGCGATGAGACTGCTTTTATTCCTCGTGTTGAGCGGACACTGGAGATGGATGCATCACTGCGCAAATACGAAGCAAAGGGCGATCCCGAGATGGTTTCTTTCGTGGGATGCGGCCGCCCTCTGAAACTGACTATCAAAACACCTGGACTGCTAGACACATTCCAGTGGGAAGAAGATGAGATATATCACACCCCTATGCCCAATGATTGGATCGAGATAGAGGTGAAAGCAGTCGGCCTAAACTTCAAAGATGTGCTCGTTGCACTGGGTAACCTAGCTGAGAACAAATTGGGTGTCGATGCCTCGGGAGTGATCACTCGCGTCGGATCAGCTGTCACAGATCTGAAGGTTGGGGATAAGGTGATGACAGCATCGTGCGATACCTTTGCCACCTATGTCCGCTTCCCAGCCAAGGGCGCCATTCCCGTACCATCTGACATGAGCTTTGAAGAAGCCGCGTCAATGCCTCTCATTTTCTTGACCGCCTATTACGCTTTGGTTACTGCGGGCGGTATCACAGCTGGTGAGACAATTCTGATCCATGCCGCTGCTGGCGGTGTTGGACAAGCAGCCATCATGATTGCCCAAGCCAAGGGTGCTGAGGTTTTCGCTACAGTCGGTGCGGATAGCAAGAAACAACTCCTAATGGAACAGTATGGCATCCGCGAAGACCGTATTTTCAGCAGTCGAGATACCAGCTTCGTCAAAGCTGTACTGCGTGCTACAAATGGTAGGGGCGTTGATTTAGTTCTGAATTCCTTGGCCGGCGAAGCTCTGCGTCTATCATGGACTGACTGCCTGGCAAAATTCGGTCGATTTCTGGAAATTGGAAAGGCGGACTTATTCGCCAACACCGGCCTTGACATGAAACCACTCTTGGACAACAAGAGCTATATTGGTGTAAACCTTCTCGAATTTGAGAACAACCCAACGCCTCGAGCAGTTGCGCTATGGCATGACACGGCGAAGCTGATTCAAGACAAATCCATCAAACCGATTTTACCGCTTCAGATGTTCACCATGTCTGAGGTGGAGAAGGCTTTTCGACACATGCAGGCAGGCAAGCACATGGGTAAAGTTGTCGTTCGCGTCGACGAAGCAGATGTCGTTCGTGCCGTGCCTCGCATCCCGCGAATACGCATACACCCTGTCGGTACTTATATCATCGCTGGGTTAGGCGGCATCACGCGTGAGATTGCACGCTGGCTGGCTGAAAAGGGAGCGCAGCATCTGGTTTTCCTTTCGCGCTCTGCAGCTAGTGGGCCAGATAATCAAGCCTTCACCTTGCAGCTAAGGGATATGTTCAACGTCAACATTTTGGCCTATGATTGTGACGTTGCCAACAAAGCAGCTTTGCAGGGAGTCCTCGATGACCTTAAGGCCAAGGGATTACCACCCATCAGGGGATGTGCGACTGGCGCCATGGTCTTGCAAGACACTCTCTTTGACAAAATGACCGCTGATAACGTCCGCAAAACGGTCGGCCCCAAGGTTCATGGTACCTGGAACTTACACGAACTGCTGCCGCGCGATATGGACTTCTTTGTAATGCTGTCCTCATTGGCTGGTGTTATGGGCCATCGCGGACAGGGTAACTATGGGTGCGGCAATAACTTCCAGGACGAGTTTGCTGCATTCAGGCGAGGTCAGGGACTACCTGCCATGACTATTGATATCGGTTACCTCTTGTCCGTGGGGTTTGTTGCTGAGCATGATGAATACGTTGACCACGTAAAAGCAATGGGACTCAAGGTCATGCAAACGTCCGACTTGCATGGACTGCTAGCAACAGCCATCGAAGGCCCTTCCAAGCATCCGGGCCAAGTCATGTGCGGTCTGCCGTTCAACGAGCATGACGATGCATGGTACTGGATATGTGATGCTCGGTTCGGTGCCCTGCGAAACCTCGCCGCTGGAACTTCAGCCAACAAGGGGCAAGTTGTCTCGCTGCGTGAAGAGTTGATGCGGTGTGGCACCATCAGCGAAGAGGCTGTGCAGATCATTACAAAAGCTATGGTGCAGAGATTGGCAAGTTTGATGATGACACCTGAGGAGGACATTGACGCGGGTAAGCCGCTAAGCGCATATGGTGTTGATAGCTTGGTTGCTGTCGAAGTGAGAAACTGGATCGCACGCGAGATGGCTGTTGAGTGCTCCGTATTCGACATCATGCAAAACATTCCAATGACTCAGTTGGCTTGCAATTTGGCGGAGAAGAGTAAGCTGCTCGTTGAGCAAGCCTGAAACTCGGGAGAGGTGAGCTTGGTCGGTAAAAGCACACAGCTGCACATTAGAAATTTAAGTAGACAAGACGCCTTACATCGTCCGTATTTATCTTTCGCACTACTTCTACGTTTCAAAATCTACAATTTGTAATTTCCTTTCAATGCAACAATGCTGCGTCCTAAAAATGATGATGAAGAAAGAGCAGAGACCATGGGCTGCACGTAGAGGTGGGGAGCAGATCTACAAACGGTGTGATTGCAGGCTGATAGAGTAAATCTTCTAGGGACCAAGTCCGTCTACTAATGTAAAAGATTTTGTCTGCGTGTGAGGTATATTTTGAGAGACCGCCACTTTGTCCTAGAAGATATTTCTTCGGCTATAGTTTTTTTTGAAGTGTCAAAGAACATTTCTGTCTCGTATGTATACCAAAATTCGGCAACGCTACCATACCAATTAAGGCACTATAGAAGCCGCATGTATACTGCCCCCTCTTAGATCTCATGCAAATTTCTGCAATCGGTATCGCATTAGTAAATCTCTAGTTGAATACGACATGAATTCTCAACATGGTATCTACGCAACGGCCGCCTCAACACGTGCCTCAAGTAATTGCAATGTCAACTACCAACTGGATGGTTGTCCATTATACCGAGTCGCCCACTAGCGCAAGAACATACGAGGATTCAATTGTTAGCCGACAACTTTATTTCAAGCACCGCTAAACATTGACACTATTGCACATGCTTGGCAATAAATGGTCACTTGACTTGGTCGTTGACCTTCACGAGGTCGCATGATGGACAGGTGTATCCAGAATACGACATGTACACGTCGTATCGTGTACACGCACATGTGGATATATTTGCATCTCACGATATCACTTGGCGCCATGCAAAAATGTAAATTTAGCATGTCACCTCACCATAGAAATTAACGACTCGGCGGACGCAGCGTTAATTATCCGACCAAAGGCCCGAATGGGGAAGGAGGATGGTAATCAATATTGAAAAGTGGACACGATCCGCGATCTCTATGCTAGTGTTCCTATTCTCTCCACACCCACGGAGCACATCAGGGAACCTCGCCGTACCAAGGCCCCTAGTTATACGAAGGGAGCATGAATCTTGTCGCATCTATACCGCTTGTCCGGCAGCCGTGTCCCCGCTACGGGCTTGGTGTTGATACGTACAAATACACGATGCATCCGACCATGCCTTGACCCTCATCCACGTTCTCAGAGATGGGCAAGTTACACTGTGCCATTGCGGCCCTTGTGCTGGGTACGCCAGTCGCCCTCTCAACATCGGTACATGCCCGTCTCCCGGCCAATACGATTGTCCAACAAGCAGCGAACGACACGCCCGTCACCAGCGGGATTTTGCCTGGGTTCTACATTGTCGAGTTTGCAAATGACGGCGAGACACCGGAAAGCTTCTATGCCTCGCTTGCGGCAATCGGGGTGCAAGTCGAGCCTCGCAAGAACCTCAGCTTCCGATTCTTCAATGGCGTCTCGTTTCAGTTCAAGAACTCGACCTTAAGCCCCGGCTCAGATTCGAGCGGCGGGGACTTGATGCATCGGCTGGAGGGACTGCCACAAGTAGAGAACATATGGCCGATGCGCATCACGGCACATCCGCGCGAAAAGAGTGTTGAAGTACCTGCTCAGCCGCAGCACGTCAAGCGGCAGGCAGAAATGCAGGATACTTTTTCCACCCATGTCATGACCCAGGTTGACAAGCTGCACGCAGAGGACGTGACAGGCAAAGGTTTCCTCATCGCAATTATTGACAGCGGTGTCGACTATACTCATCCCGCCCTGGGCGGCTGTTTCGGGCCAGGCTGTTTGGTCGAAGTTGGGTATGATTTCACGGGCGACAACTACATCCCCGGCACAAATGAACCAATCCCAGACGACGATCCCATGGACAACTGCGTCGGACATGGCACGCATGTTGCCGGCACCATCGCCGCTCAGCTCAAGGGCAACAAATATGGCTTTACGGGTTCTGCTCCTGGGGTAAAGCTGGGAGCGTACAGAATGTGGGGCTGTTCAGCGACGTCGATAGATGAGATCGAGGTGCTCGCATTCGCTCGTGCCGTCGAAGATGGAGCCAACATCATCTCGTACTCCAACGGCGATGGCTCGGGCTGGGCACAGGATGTACGTGCCGTCATCATTTCGCGCATTGTCGATTCCGGTATCCCTGTTATCGTGTCTGCAGGCAACGATGGTGGGCAGGGTATATTTTACGGTTCCACGCCAGCGACGGGATTCAGCGCCACAGGCACAGGAGCGGTATCCAATATTAAATTCCCTGTGTTTCTGGAGCGAGGCTCCTACAAGACGAGCGCCAATGCTACCGGTAACAGTACGCATGAGTTTGGTTTCTTGAGGGGTGTGCCAGAATTCACTGCCGGCGGGACACTCCAGCTTTGGTCTGCTGCCAATGCCGACGACGCCTGCAAAACGCTGCCCGATGATACACCAGATCTGAGTCAACGTATCGTTCTTTTGGAATTCAAGGATGCGCGCGCAACGCAATGTTACCCGCAAGACCAAGGTGCTAATATTGCTGCAAAGGGTGGGCGCTTCATGGCGTACTATGAACGCACCAACCTGACGATGCGCGACGATCCCTATGTATACGCTGATGGCATTCAGGGAGTCGTTAGAGTTCCCCCGTATGCTGCCGAGAATTGGCTTTCCCTGCTTTCGCAAGGCGCTACTGTCTCTGTGACTATCCCGTCCAACGGCTCCCAAATACACCTCGAGGAACTCGAAAATAACGAGAGTGGTGGGTATGTCGCAGATCGTCTGACAAGCTGGGGCCCGACTTGGGAGCTCAGCATGAATCCAGAGGTTGTATCGCCCGGAGAGAATATTTTGAGTACATTTCCAACGGCCATGGGTAGCTATCGTGTCATGACTGGCACCAGCATGTCAGCTCCTCTGGTCGCAGGCGTCTATGCACTGCTCGGTGAGGTATACGGCAAGCTGGAACCGAAACGCCTTCGCAGACTCCTGATGCACACTGCAAAGCCACTGCCCTGGTACCATGACAATACTCTTCAGCCCGATATCCTTGCTCCTGTCCCACAACAAGGCGCTGGGCTGGTGCAAGCCTGGAATGCTGCACGTACTACCCTCGAGATCGACATCGACAGCATAACGCTCAACGATACGGAGCACTTCGTCGGCACACACACCTTCAGCGTCATCAACACCGGCACTGCAGACGAGGTGCTCGAGTTGAGCCATCGCAAAGCCGTCACGATAAACACCATGGATCCAAACAGTTTCTTTTTCCGACCAGGCTTGATTTCCAATTCCATTGTCAACGCATGGGCTACCGTGGCTCTCTCATCTGACCGCATCACCGTTCCCGCTGGTCAATCTGTCAACGTGACCGTCGACATTACGCCGCCAGGGGGTGTCAACGCGACCTTACTGCCCGTCTACAGCGGCTTCATCGCCATAGGCAAGCAACTTCACCTCCCGTACCTCGGTGTTGTAGGCAGCATGCGCAACGCGACCATTTTCCCATCTGGAACTGTGTACCTCGCAAATGGATACTCAGAGGCACCTGCAAATACCTCTTACATCATCCCTCGGCCAGATCCCCAGAACCCACCCTGGACCGACCGAGGCGACATCTACAACTCGCCCAACATCTACATGTTCCCCTCGGTTGGCTCGGCTTTGCTCCGTGTAGACGTGCTGCAAGGCAACAAGACACTTGGACCGTTGGCAGGATTCCCGCTCACCTACATCCCGAGGAGTGAAGTGCGTGCGTACTTCAACGGGTTGATGGCCGATGGGAGAGTGCTGGACGAAGGTACTTACCGCATGAGAGTCAAGGCACTGCATATTTTTGGTAATGAGGATAATGAAGAGGATTGGGATACTATTGAGACGAGTAGCTTTGCGGTTAAGTATGCAGCCTGAGCTAAAATTACAGAGGGGTGACATGAAAAAAAAGTGTTACAAAAAGTTCTTATTTTTAAACAGTTATAACTTAACGGATATAATAGCAATTCCAAATCGGGTTAGTGATCTGAAA